TGTCCATCCTAAAGGAAATCAGTCCTGAACATTCATTGGAAGGACTGATGCTGAAGCTGAAACTCCAATTCTTTGGTCACCTGATGTGAAGAACTGACTCATTTGAAAAGACCCTGATGCTGGGAAAGATTGAAGGCAGGAGGAGAAGGGGATGACAGAGGATGAGATGGTTGGATGGCATCACCGACTCCATGGACATAAGTTTGAGTAAGCTCCAGGAGTTGGTGATGGACAGGGAAGTCTGGCGTGCTGCAGTCCATGGGGTTGCAAATAGTCAGACATGACTGAGTGACTGAACTGAACTGAACTGATGGTATGTGAGACTATATCCATACTCTTGCCCTGTGGTCCATAAATGTTTGGTATGGGTCTATTCTTTGTGGATATAGATATTAATTAATCACACAAAGAAGTATAAAATTGAACCATCATGCTAAGAAAAATAATATACTATTTCTTCTCTCCTAAAATGCTCTATTTTACCTCCATTCCCAGAGTTCTCCTTGCATCTGAGGGTTCCCAGTTTCCATTGAACCCAGCAATGCCCTCTTCTCCTACTTTCTGAGATGCAAAAATATTGACTAAAATATTTCACGTTACTCTGGCCCCTTCTGAACTCGGAGCTCCAGAGAAATGAACCCTAGGAAGAATAAGGGAGGCTGACCAAGACTTAATCCCTTCCAGACTTGTTTCTTGCTTTTCATTAGGTCCAAAACAGGTACCCCATCACCCATCACCCCCTCTACTATGGTAGATTCCATCTTTGTACCCACTCCAGGAGCTCCACAGCTGACCCGGCCTGGGAGATGGTTTCACCTCTTTGTTAATGTGTTCTTGTGTCTCACATCTCTTCTGCTTCCTGCTGTCTAAACTCAGCCTAAGTCTATTTCTTCTCACTTAGTCTGCAGCTGCATCAGAGAAACCTTCTCTGACTAATTGGAGAAAAGGTAGCAAATTCATCCACTTGTCTCTGAATAGGCACCCCACACGCTAGCTGCTTTTAAGCATGCATCTCTTCCTTGCCCTGATATTACTGTAATTCACCTGCGACTCACTGTCTGTGTGTTCTTGATCTCTATCAGCCTCTGTGATGTCTGGGTTAGATTGTGAAACTCCCAGAGGGGGCAGGCCCACATCTGCCCTGTGTCTCCAGACCCTGCTCAGCAGAGCAGCAGGAAGAGGTAGGCACTTAATATAGACTTTTGATGATGGAAACAGAAGAGCGGCACTCTGTCTAGAGCATTGTGAGTGAGCAAGAAGCGATCTACTACACAGATGGACCACATCACAGCAGTCCTCCTGCCAGCCTGGAAGCTGGGACACACTTTTCCTTTTAAACCAAGTGTGTGGGAAAGGGGACAATGTCTTATCTCTGAGATAACAAAAGCAACAAACACTGTGACAGCACTGCTGGTGCTCACAATAACCTTTTGAATTTCGGGGCTATCATTATCAGGCCAGTTTTACAAATGAGAAACCTGAAGCACAGAGAATCTGTGCAAATTGCTCAGGCCTCAAACTGGGGCCATCTGGCTTCAGAGGCCTCCGCTTACCCACCACGGCACACTTCCTGGACATGAACTAGGGCAGCTTCAAGCAGAAATGGAGAGCGAAGGGTTGCCAGCCAGGCTCTTGTCCCCTGCTCTCGTGGATCCTTGACCGACTGATCCCTGTCCCACCCAAATGACTGGCTGAGGGGAGGAGCTGGCCACTCAGGCAGTTGTCCAGGGTGGAGCCGAGTTGGCCTTCAAAGCATTTGTTCACACCCAACCCCTCTCTCTCCTCCTGTCTTCTCTTCTGTTTCTCAAACACACTAAGCGTGTTCATTCTTGGGTCTTTGAACCTGCTGTCTCCTCTACTTGCATAACTCTTCTTCTAGACCTCTGGATGTGTCCCTGGGTCATTTGCATCACTTAGGTATCAGCTCAGATGGCATATTCTTAGGGCAGCTGCTCATAATCTGTCTGTGTAAATGTAGCTCCCAAGCCCCCTCCCTCCTTCTTGTCTAACTCATTTTCCTGTTTTTGCCTTCATCAGAGCACTCAACACCATCTGAAATCACTTTATCACTTTTTTGTCTGCTAGTTTACTTGTCTATTTCTGCATCTTCACTGGAACAATAGCTTCAGGAGACCAGAGATCTCATCTGTGTTGTTCACTCCTAGAGACCCAGGGTCTGAAACAATATCTGGCATGCTGTAGGTGCCCAACAAACATTTGCTAAATATATGCATGTGTGAATGAATAAATAATAAATCCTTTAGAGATATATATGAATTTGGAACTTGTTGGATCCTTCAGTTGCCTGCCCCTCACACATACATTTCAAGCCTTTGGCAGGAAGAGACCAGATTTTTCAGCTTTGGCATCCTTTTAGGCCCTGGAGCAGTGGCAAGTGACCGAGGAGCTGATCAGTTCCTTTGTCTGGTCAGAGAAAAGACCTAGACATTCAGCGACTAAGATTGCAGACTGTCTACATTCGCTGCAAGTCCACGTGTGAACAATTGCTGGACAGCTCCCTCCCCCAACAGAAAACAAAATACTGAAATCTCAGCTTTTCACTTTCCGTCTGTGTCTGACTTCTCTTTCTTCCTTCTCTAGAGAGTTTTCCCCATCTCCTCCCCTTTGTCTCCCTTCCTCACTGAAATCCTGTGAAGAAAAACAAGCAAAAAGTGGGAAAATGTGTTCATATCTAACACATGCAACTCTTGTTTCTAGTATAACACAATCCCATTAAAATCTCCTGGCTCCTGCCCAAATAAAGCAAAGCCTCAAAACATAACAGTCATATGCAGAGGATGCTTGATTTGATCCAGACTTGGTATCCACACTATCTCCCATCCCTCTCACATAAAAGAGCTCATTTCTTTATTGGTGCTAGCTTTTTTTTTTCCACTCCATGCTTTATTTATGACACATTGTAAAAATAACAAACAAGAAAGGAGAGCTGCTGACCTCCAACCAGACCTTATGTCGCTTAAGGATATTTCACAGTATTCCTAAGAATTTTGTTTAAAACAAAATATTGCTTTACCATGAGCAAAATATATGTCATTATATATTAATCCCTTTCAAGTCATTTTCAGGCTCATTATCTTCTGGATTCTCTCAACAGACTTATAAGGAAATGCAAGGAATAGGAAAAGATTCTTTTAAATCACAGAAGTTGGAAAAGGGACCCTGGGGAATAAAGAAATTGAAGGAGTTCACACAGCAGATAAATATCATCCAGAACAGGTTCTAAGCCCTGTTGTTTTCTAGAGACAAGCATATTTTTCCCAGAAGCCACACTCCCAGTGCCCCTGTGACATTCAGACCTGAACCACCAGGCATATGGGAGAAGAAATAAGTCTCTCTCCTCTTTTTCTTTTTTTTTTTTTTTTTTTTGAGACGACGAGGCTTCTGATGGGGACAGATGCTGATTGTGAGCAGCCCAGAGTGAAGCATGCTTCCTGCTCTCAGTGGTGCTGCTCTTTCTTGTGTCTGCGCTGGAGGCCCAGCCCTGGAAGAGGGGCACTGAGCAGGCACCTGGATCTTCTTGCTTAACAGGAGTCTTTGGTTCTAAGCTGCAGTCCAGTTGGGACTTTTTGGCAATCCTAGTCACAAAAGGGCTTCCCTGGTGGCTCAGATGGTAAAGAATCTGCCTGCAATGCAGGAAACCTGGGTTCAATCCCCAGGTAGGGAAGATCCCCTGGAGAAGGGAATGGCAACCCACTCCAGTCACAAAAAGGAGGAACCCTGCCCTCAGCCTCTCAGAGACATTTATTCACACTGAGATCAACAGTCCTTCCTCTCACAATGCCCGGGCCATGGCCCCAGTTATCATCTGTCCCGAAGTGCCCTGCTCATTCCAGGCAAACACAGAATGAATGACAATGTCAGCGAAGCCTGTCTCTCAAAGACAAAGCCTTCAACACGAACCAGAGCCACCCAGATGCAGCAGCATGTCAACCTACTACACCATCACTTGTTGTAAGTACACAGAAGCCTGACCCCCACTTCTGGGAAACTTGTGAAGTGGCTGATTTGACCATATAACCCTGCCCAGGGTGCAACTGAATGTTCCTTCTCCAGCACCACTAACTAAATCAGATTTTCAGGTGAACCTTTCTTGTCTGGGATTCTGTGGGCCAGAATTGTGTTGCCACAATTCATGGTTCCAGAAGAATGTGTACATGTTCTCCAGCACTGCAAACACTAGATTGAAAATGCAGCTAGAAGGGGTGGTGTGAGTATGTCTTTGAAAATCTGAATGAGTGGGGGTAGGGAGAACTCGTGGCCTTGGGAAGACTCTGGTCCATAAGGTATTTGGCATCTCTATCCTGATGGAGAGAGTTTAAGGGACTTTCTAAGTTCATGTGCTTTCAGATCTGCCAAGGCGGATGGTTATGATCAGACTCCCTACTTTCTTCTCCACTTTCCTTAAACTCCCTCTCACCCTACTTACCTAATGCTTTCAACCTAGAAAAACTTGAGTCTGACAAGAAGTGTCTTTGCAAACTGTATAATCTTCATGAACTTACAAACCCTCTCCATTTCCTCCTCAGTAACTAAAACGCACTGCCAAGGATGTCAATATAATATGGGAGGGGATCATCTCAAAGTGAAGAAACAGACATAGGCTGTAAGGACAAGATCTCCGCACACTATCAGAGAGGGAAGAAGTTTGAATCTGGAACTGAAGACAGTCTGGGGAAATGTCACTAACGACAAATCAGATACAAAGATATCTTGGCAACAAGCATGAATGTACCACTAAGCTCCTTTATTTCATCCCTTCCAACTTCCGAATCTTCCCCTCTGAGGATGCTGATGGAATTTTGGGATGGAACTGAACATATGGAAGGAAAATGCAAAACAGGCTCCACCAGGCACCAGATACCTCTTGGGCAAATTTAACCACATGAAACATCACTGAGGATCCCTGAAAGCTTACAGTCCTCCTGCTAGAGACAGCACAGGGCAAGTAGGCGAGTAGGAAAAGGGGAGAAGGGTCTCACCTGTTCCGGCCCCTGGAAGCAGATGCGGCAGAGTGGGGTCCTCATGCCACTTTCCAGGCTGCTGCCCAGGGAGTAGCGATCCTCAGGCTTCCCTTTACAGAAGTCATCTGACGAGGCACTGCTGAGCAGCGAGACAGGTGGCTCTGTGGCTGGGCCACCCCAGTCATCTTCCACAGAAGGTGGCAAAGGTGGTGGAGGTGGCAGGGGAGGGGTCTCCCTGCTCACCCCTTCGCGAGGGCCCCTCCAGCCTGCCCACCCGCCGGCACCCAGAGCCGGAAGCGTGTTGTTGTTGGCCGCCAAACCAGGGGGCTGGGGTTCCCCGTGCATGGGCAGGGGCACTGGAGGGGGGCGCCGCAGGAGGAAAACCTTCAGGTCATTGAAGAGCATACGGCAGCGGCACTTGAGTAGACCCTGGTGGCGCAACATCTGGGGGGCTGGGGTGCACAATCCACAGCAGTGCCAGGCACAGCAGCACCACCACCGCAGCAGCCCACTCAGGGGCATCAGCATGTGCCCAGTGGAAGCAGAGAGCCCGGTAGGGGCAGGTGGAGTCTTTGCGGAGGATAGAATGGTCTGGGGGGTCCACAGTGTATCTGTGTTATGATGGAGGGAGTCTTCGTTCTTGCTGGCTCCTCTTACATCCCCTCCAAGTAGCAAATAAATGGCTCCCAGGACTGGCAACTGAGAGTCACTGGTCCTGAACTCTTATCTGGAAAGCCCAACAGAAAATCGTCTTGCCCCTCCTACCTCTACCCAAACCTTAAGCTTTCAGCATGTCTCCCTTTTTGCTTTTGACCCGGTAGCACTGGTTACAGGCAGAGGGATAGAAAAAAAAGTTGAGGATGGGCTGTTAGGGCCTTGAGATCAAAATCTAACTGTTAGAAAGTTCCCCAGGAAGAGGCTTATTGGGTTTTTCTCAAATTCCCAGGCAGTGGGAAATTTCTTCATATAAAAGGGTAAGGAAGGTTATCAATAAAATTTGGAGTGGACTGAGCTGGGCTTAGAGCAAACGAGCTCAGTGAAGAATTGAGGACTGCATGTGCTAGAGAGAAAAGAGAGTTTTCCTTAGGTAGCAGGAGGTTGGTTTTGAGGGGCTGGGGGAGGTGAAGAGGGGAAGAGAGGAGGTTGGGAGAAGTTTTAATTCTCCTGGGCAGAAAACTGGGGCAATTAACCTCCAGAAGCACCAGAGTTGCTTTTGAGAGACAGTGGGTGGGTGGGGAAGGGATCCAGGTGATACTGGGCAAGGGCTTGTGCTTTGCCTATGCAGCCGAAGCGCTGCACAGAAAAGGGGAAAGCCTATTAGAATAGAGGTGGGAAAATCAGGGACGGGGACGGGAAAAGAAAGGGAAAAACAGAAAAGACCGTTTAACCCTTGCAGAGCCACCGCCTTCCTGAGCGTTAGGATCCTGGCTAGAGGAAGGGTGTGTGTGGGGCAAGTGGGAGGTAGTGGAGCAGAGATAAGGAAGGGGTAGAGAAGAGGGGCGTGCGTGTGGGAGGGGACTAGGGGGAGTAGTTACATGATCAGAGCCCCCTGCCCAGCCCTGTGGCAGTCTGTAAACCCTCGGCCCCCTTCCCTGGCTCCATCAAAGGTTCCTTGGGGCGAGGGGCAAGGGGCGGTAGAAGGGCAGGTCCGGGCGGGTGAGTGGCCTCGCCTTCTCCGGTTGCTCCTCTGGGCCGCTGTCGCCCTCCTTCTCTCTTCCCCGGTCTGCCCGCGGCCACCGATGCTGCTGTGGCGGCGGCGGCGACTGCTTGTCGGCGGCGTCCGGGTGTCTCCCGGGCGGGGGCCGCTCCGGCTCGTCCTCTGGCTGCAGCTCGCCGTCCGACGCGGCCAAGACTCCCGGCTTCATGATCCTCCGCCTCCTCCTCCTTCCCGGGGGGCCAGCTCTGAGCCCCCGCGCCCAGGCAGCGCTGCCATGCAACCAAAGGCGAGGCAGACGTAGGGGTGGGGGCGGCTGGGGAGTGAGGAGTAAGGGTAATGAAAAATGAAATAATACTAGTGAAATAAGAATAATTCGGTTCTCCAATAATCAGGAAAGAGCACTTCTAGAGGGGTGGGGGGGAAAGGGCGGCTGCCGGCTCTTCACAGCAGCTCTGCCCCTGCTACCCCCACCAAGGGCGGCCTTGCTCGGCTCTCTGCGAGCCACCCCCACCCCCAACCCCTCCCTCCTCTCCGCTGCCTCTGGCTGGCTGGGCTCGCTGTTGCTACCTCTCTTCGTAGAAGCAACGAGGTAAGGCTTGTTTGCAGTACCAGCTAAGGGTGGGGAGGGGGTAACGAAGCAGCGTGGCCGAGGTGGGAGGTAGCCAGCACTTGGCTCCGGCTGGGTCCTCGCGACTCCCCCAAAACCACGTATAAATCTATCTCTTTGAAAAGGCGAGAGGAAGCAAATCAAATTCCAGGCTGCTGCCAGGAGTTGTCTCGTCTTCCGCCGTTGCTCAGCACCCGCCCGCCGCGACTGCTGCCCCCCTGGCTCAGTTCCCAAAGGGGTGGTGCTGGAAGGGAGGTGGCAGGCGGTGAGCTGACCGTCCGAGGTCTGGAAGCAAGGTTCCTGGAGCAGAGAATCGCCTCTCAGCTCTCTCCGCCGCCGCTGCTGCATTCAGCACCCCGGGCGAGTGGACAGCTCCCACCCAGACCCAGAGCGTCACGCAAGTGGGGGCCTGACGCAGACGCCGGGGAGGGATTGAGGAGGGAAAGAGGCTAGAGAGAGAAGGAGAGAGGGGAGAAGGGAAGCACTGATCGAGGAAAGGGGATGGGGAGGGACCAGGCGAAAAGGAAGGAAGGAGAAGGAGGGATTTAGGAAGGAAAGGAGGAGGGAGCAAAGTGGTGGAAGAGAGAGAAAGGCAAGTGGGGTGGAGGGGAGCATTCAGGTACTAACTCGTGCATTTCCCCCCAGCTTGGGAGAGGGTATCAGTGTGGATGGCACCGCTATAGAATTTCTTCCCTCTGTACACTGTTGCTGCCCCCTCAACTCACATACACAGAGGCTCCTACATCTCAACCAGAGTCCCATTTCCCTGCTCATATAAACATTTTAAGCAGATACCAGTCTGCAAGCTTTGAAAGACAGAAATTTTGTGATTCTTGCACTGATGTTGGGACTTGATGGAGACTAAGTCCCTCACATGACTAGGAACTCATGAGAAGAAAATATTTCTAACAGGGAGAGATGCTAACACCATTTTTGCCAGTTTTTTCTAGAATACAAAGTTCTAGACAGAAATTTTTCTGGGTCCATTTAAATTCTATGTGCCTAGGTCAGTGATGGCATGTGGTAGGTACTTAATAAATATTTGTTCAGTGGATTATGACCACTATCACCAAAGTCATTTGTGTTAGTTGCTCAATCGTGTCCAACTCTGCAACCCCATGGACCGTAGTCTGCCAGGCTCCTCTGTCCGTGGAATTTCCCAGACAAGAATACTGGAGTGGATTGCTATTTTCTTCTCCAGGGTATTTTCCTGAATCAGGGGTCGAACCCAGGTCTTCTGAACTGCAGGTAGATGCTTTACCATTGGAGCCATCAGGGAATCCTAAAACCATCATTACTCCAAGCCATAGACCTCTTTCAATTGTAATCATAAGAATCCAGAGCGATATTACAGCCTCATCTTAAACAATGTCTCCAGCTTCCCCTGTATTTGAGCCTTTCACTAAGCCACTGACAAGAAATAATTTGAGATGGATGTTAATTTCCTCTCTTATTTCTACTTCTGACTCATGTCATCCTACTCCATCCTTCTCAATGAGTTGCTAGTGAATAGAAGTGTCCTTAAATGTGAAGAAAAAGGAAAATTTTAAGTGGTTCGTACGAATACTCAGTACTTAGCAGCCGTAGGCTTTGGTCATTTAAAACTTAGGGTTGCTTTCTTGCCTTTCCTCATAACTAATCCCTCCCCCTTCACCCTCCATGCATGTGCATGCACGCGCGTACACACACACACACACACACACACACACACACTGCCAAGGTCATAGACTTGGACAAACCATCCCAATAAGTCATCTGCACTCCTTTAAAAATGTTGGTGCCATAGACAGAGTAGCATGCAAAAACGTCTGTTTCAAAATATCATTGACAGCCCTATGAATCACAAGAAAACTATCCCTTTTCTGCCATCTCCTTCAGTGATTTTTTCCTATAAGCTCTAAGGAGCAAGGACATAAGTGTAGGTCTTGGTTAACCCAGGGTGGCTACTTGATTGAATCATGCCTCAGAACCCACCACAGATGCTGACACCTGGGCCAAGGTGAGTAGTTGCAAGAGGATGGTGCTGTTAACCACTCCAAAATAATATGTATTTTATTGATATGAGCACGACTACTGTGCTACAGAAAAGATTTTCTTTGTTTAAAAAAATCCATCTTATCTCAAAGAAAATTCTCTGTTCTCCACCTTACCTTGTGCTTGCCTCTGACATTGTGCAAATTAGTCTTTAATAATGATTTCATCATATATTCATCTCCCTTTATAAGACTCAGAAATCCTTGACGGCAAGAATCCTTGAAGGCACCTAAAGTCTGCTGGGTGATCAAGAAAATGAATGTTTCAGAAAATTTTAAATTGTTTTTCAATTAAAAATAAATAAAAATTAAAAAGAAAATGAACTAGTGATGGATGGCCTTTTTGTTTCAGTGAAGCTATGGTATTTTTCCTCTTTATCGTAGGCACACCTATGTGAATGCTCTCATACATGACTGAATATCTGTTTTGCCCGAAACTGAGTTTCAGGGTTTTATGCCAATAAAACACTGGTTCCAAGTATGTCATGGAAGTAAATTGGGGCAGGAGATACAAAAGCCATAAGAAGCTTTGCTCAGAGTCATTGAAAGGGATGATATCCATAAGACTGTCTTTTCCAACTACTCCACTGACAGCTAAAAGATTTCTAGAAACAGAAAGCTGCTAATGGTGGGAAGCAACAAGACTGTTTTCAAAAATCCTAGAAAGCTTGAAAGTTCTGTTTTGAACATAATGTATATCTTGAAAAATGCCTCACTGAGTCAGATTCTTCTGATACTGATGATAAAACAGTAGTTGTGAGCCCCTTAAGAATTAAAGTCATAGATCAATGGGTCTCCATTTAAGCATTCAAAAAAATATTTACTGAACACCAATTATAGGTAAGGCCTTGTACTGGAAGATGTGGGGAACATAAAAATGAACTGATTGAAACTGCATCCTTTGAGGTCTAGTACTATAAACTTATACAAAATCATAATATAAGTTATAAACTAATAAATACTACAAAGGTATTCAAATTTTGAAAAATGTTTAGAAATAGGAGGTAATTCATGCTTGTACCTTGGCAGCAATTAGGAGAGGTAGGAGGAGGTGGAGATGCCAGAGCTCTAGGAAAGCTTTTTTTTAAGAAGTGACATTTGAACTGAATTTATATGTAGAATTCAGAGGAGGGAAGTATATTTCTGGCAATGGGAATACTGAAATACTTCGATTCTTCCATTGGCCTGGAGTGGAAGGTGCTTGAAGGTAAGTAGCTGGAAGTAAAGTTAGAAAGGCAGACTGAAGCCAGATTACAGAAGGCCCTGAATGCCACTCTGGGAGAAGATTTATTCATTGACCAGGTACTTGTTTTAATGGTTTTAAAGATTTGGAGCTGAAGGTGAAGGGCAGAAATAAACTTTATCTCTTAGCAGGTTAATTAACTGGATGGGATTTCACTGCTAACAGGTTAGAAGCAATCAATATTTTTCATTTCACGCCAGAAAGTTCTCAGCTCCTTAATAGATTTATTCTTTTAAACGAGGTTGTTTTCAGATATATTTCATTACATACAGGGATGCTGGGGGGGTCATATGAATTAAAAGAGTAGGAGAATGAGAGGCTCAAAGGAATAATCTCCAGGAAGAAATATTAGGAGATGCAGAGATTCAGAAAAGACTCATTACAGAGGCCATTGCACTGTTTTCAGCAACCAGGGGAGCCCTAAAGGGATGCCATCTAGTAGCTATTGTTTCTTTTCCTAGACAGAGTACTCAGGGTGGAAGGCATTTTACAGAGGCTAGGGGAAAAAAGAGGTTCAAAAAGATTAGGTGACTCTGTGCCTAAGATCGGGTAGCCAAGTAAGGGCTAGAACTTACACATCTTCTAATCCTCAATACAGTTTGCTTTCCACTAATTCACAGCTTAAATACATAGTCCCTTTATAATTCCTCAAGAATAATTGCAGAATTACTGTTATCATGCAGATTATTAATAGCTATCATATACTGAGCCACACATCTTTTGCAAATGCATTATTAAAAATAGAAATTCCTTTATGTGGCAGCCTGGAAGGGAGGAGAGTTTGGGGGATAATGGATTCATGTGTATGTATGGCTGAGTCCCTTTGCCGTCCACCTGAAACTACATTGTAATTGGCTATGCTCCAATATGAAATTAAAAGTTAACAAATTTTTAAAAAAAGAAATTCTTAAAAGCCGCCCCAAATCTACTGCACATGAATTTCTTGGGGAGCAACCTGAGAATCTGCATTTTAACAAGTGCCTTGCCCAAGTGACTTTTTGATCCTCAAAACTCCTTAGGTGGTAGGTATTTTCCACACTTTTTGAATGAGAAAACCAAGGCTCAGAAAAACAAAGTTTTAAGTTATATACAGTTGGTGATCAGCAAAGGCAAGATTCTGATTGAGGCCTAAAGTGTATGTTCTTCTTATGATGCAACATTGCCTTTTATATTAAACTTCCAAGGGCCGTATAGAATCCCCATATATTTATTGTCTGTCATACTGTGTCCCACGTCGAAAGGTAGTTCCAAACGAAGGCTAAGGTGTGGCAGGCAGCTTCTAAAAGGGGCCCTAATGCTCCCCACTTCCTGGTACTCATGCCTTT